GGTGGGGTGGTGGTGTGTGTGTATGTCTGTCAGAATCCAAGACAGAGCTTCACAGAACACTTGAAGGAAGACTAGACTTTACACTATGAATCTGTAAAGGCTTCGTATGCTGTTTAATTTATAATGCCCACTATGTGGTGCATTTGCTTCCCCCCCTTTCCCCTTACAGAGAAAAAAAGAAGAGGCTTCTGAATATCTTTTGTAGACCATGAAGTCCCTATGATCATATGCCACAGGGCTCTATGAAATATCCTGACGCAACTGCCCAAGTGGAATCAATTAGTTCTCCTATCATTGTGCAGTTTTCACACAGTAACAACAGAACTTTCTTTTTTACAGGCTTTATAGCCATATTCCTACAACCAGTTTTTCCAAGCATAATATGCCGTGTTTATTTGGTGTGGTTTTTTAATTGTTTCAAAATTAAATCACTAATAATAGAGAAGAATTATTATTATGACTTCATAATCAAACTAAGGGCTAGCCTTATAAAGACTAGGACTCCAGAAGCAGCTGCTTTTCATAGGATTTTTCACTTGAACAAATGTTACAGCAAATAGCAGTTTTAGATGCCTGGTGACCAGATTAGTTTTTAGTGAAGCAATATGCATCAGAACCACCTAATAAATGTGTAAATTTACTTGGCTGCTTCCACATGTTGATGGCATAATGAGCCCAGTCTAATTTGTATTTTTTTTTCCAATGGACAATTGAAAATTACCTTTTCTATACTTCTTACTAAAAACAAACAGATAATTATGCAGCCAGTGTATTGCAGGAACCCTTATGCAAATATCCCTGAATATTACTTTCATGGTCATATTTAAGATGTTACCTCTTCTTAAGCCGGAAGCGCATCTATCACATTCCAATAAATTAATGTATGTTAGCTTTTTAGGAATGTGCCTGTCCCACAAATTTAAAAAAAATTGAATTAACAAGAAAAATCTCAGTAATAAAGCTTCACATAATCTATATGTATCTAAAAGGGGTTTTTAGTGCATGATACGAAAACATCAGCATGATATATCAAGTTTAAAAGTGCTTTTTTTCATAAGATAGAAAACTTAAGAAGTAAACATCTTTTCCTTTCTGAGGTTTCCAACTAACCGTAAGTCATCTTCCAATCTGAATACAAGTAAAGGCATCCATACAAGCTAAGGCTACCAGAAAACAGGAAGACATACATTGTAACATTACAAAAGAATTCTTGTTTCTCATTAGCATTTTCACATGCATATTACAATGCAGCAAAATATTTAAGAGCTGTAGATACCTGCTATGCAGAGCAGATGTCCTAACAGTAGCAGTGTAATGCCAGCTGTAATCAAGCTGAAGGGCTCACCTTTGAAAATTTCTCAATCTGGTATCCTGCCTCCATGATGAAAGTTGTTGTCACGTTGTAACCAGTTTGCTTTCCATGTCCATTTGGCCACCAAGCCTCCACTGTAGAGCTCTTGAATGCACAAGAGAGAAAGTCAGAGCAATGTGTATAAAAAGAGGCATAACATGCACCTAGGGGCTCAGGTATCTTTGAATGAATTACCACAAGACTAATGAGTTTATGTGCCTCAGCTGAGCCATGGTAACTGGGATGTCTCCTGATGCAGCTCTGAGGTGAAAATTATTTAAAGAGAGAAGTATGATTTCTTCTACCGAAGCCCAGGCTATCACTTCATCTTGTGTCCACAATAGGCAATGAGTGCGCATACACATGCATGTGCACATCTAGCTGCTACCCTCAGCTGAGGTACATTGACAGAACATTCCTCCAAAACTCAAATGTCTGTGTCAGGAGCAGATATTGTTCACTAGCCCCTGTATCATACCCCTCCTCTCATTGGCCCTTTTACCTATCCCATACAAGATTCAATATACAGAGGTGACTCTTTTCAGTTGTGACTTTGGTAATATGTGACCATACTGACTCCTTCACTCATGTCAAGCTTATTTAAGTCAAATTGTAAGCTTCATTCTTTCTTTTCAGTGTTTTCTGTTTCTTCTCTATGCTGTTTAATCACGTCATTAGTACTCCATAATTTTTACAAACATAAAAAAACTACCTCTAGGGTGACAGAATGATTTAGTTTTCTCATTTTTCTAGTCACAGAGTAATATTTATGTCTTCATTCCAAGCAGCCTACTTCTGCTGCTCAGTCCCCTTGCCAACATTCGCCAGTTGAGCATACAACACAGAAATAGTAGAAAGCAAGCAATAATGGATGCAACCAAACAATGGAGGGATCAGCACTGAATAGAGTCATGTAAGGAGTGCCTCAATCTTTTCAAATAAAATGAGGCCAGAGAGCAGCCCAACAATAGGTTTTGCTGTAGCCATACTTGGACACAACCATGAATGTACCTACTAACATTTCAGCTTCCCCAATACAGAATTATCATAACTGCTTGTGCAGAGGTACTAATCTCTGTGTCGCACGGATACAAATGGAAGCACAAAATCAGCGTGTGCCTCAACAACAAGGGAGTGTTCACAGCTGCCTGGCACGGCTGGAGTGTCTCATTGGCCACTAATGATGTCATCCCCATGCTCACCAGTAGCTGATAAGCAAAATGCTGTCATGTTAGCAACACAGCACTTTGTGTGGCGATTGCAGGAAGACTGCTGCACATCTCGGGTGATACGCGCCACTCAAACATCTACTGACTTTGCAATAATCTGCAATAAGCTCTCAACTAGAAAAAAATTTCTGGTGAGGTCTCACTATTTAACATGCACCACACAACTCTGTCGTGCAGACTAAGGGCTCTGTTAGGCTCATTGATACACAAGAACACATTGCAGGGCTTCTCATAAAATCAGCTGATGTGAATTCATGCAGCAAAGCCTTTTGTGTACAAAGAGTACTAAAACACTGTTGCCTCTGCTCTGAAGGAAGTGCTTCCTCACAAACTTGCAGTCATATTCCAGTAACAGATTTCTTCTGAGGTTGGGGGTGGGGCAATTAAATAAACCAAAATAATTTTTGAAGTTTCACATTGCAATGCCTGCTTAATGTAATCCCTGACAAGGCTAAGCAGAGACTAATGATTGTTTTAAATGAAACTGGGTATTCGTAATTGTTCGTGCAATTTGCATGTCAGATGGCAACAGTAACAAAAATCATATGTTTGTATGCTTTTACACTTTTGTGTCAAAATAAAACAAAGCACATAAGTATGCAAGTCACTGAGTATGCATACTAGAACATAAATACCCTGCTTGCCTTTAACACACGCTTTTTCTCCGCTTAAACAACTGACAAGAAAACTCAAGAATACACACATAATGCATTCAAACTGGGGAAACAAATAGAGTTACACAGCAATAGAGAAAATCAGTAGAGCCAGTAAAATACGCAAAAGTTTGAGGGCAGACTTTCAAACGTTATTAACTGCCAGAATTGTCAGAAGCCCCAAATTCCTGCTCACAGCACATTGCTCACCCACAAATCTAACTGTGCCCTGTGGCAGTGAAGCAGACAGCAGCTCCCGGTACGCTGTTGGCTCCAGTGGAGAACACCATCAGCTGCGGCTGCTGCTGCGCCTGCCAGGGCTCCCACCCTGCCCACTGGCCTGGGCCTGCCGCTGTCAGGTTCAGTTCTGCACAATCAGCTCTACTAGGGCCCTGCTCTCTGAGCAAGGAGCCAAGACAAAGTTCATGCTTCTTTTTGCCACACTGGGCTCACTGCCCAATTCAAGACACCTACCTAAGTGTCAACTAGAACAGACACACTGATTTTCTTCATCTCTCAAGTCTATACATCTTATCTTAATTACACCTGTGTGATAAAACTTAACAAAAAGCACAACCAAAGCAAATTCTGTAGAAGTGAAACAATGTTGCTGAATTAAGTCTGCCACCAGATAGTTTCCCCACACCCTCTGAAGGCAAGCAGACCAATTCTTTCCTCTTTTGTCACTAGGGTGTATACCAAATTCATCATTTTTCAATTGAGTTCTCTCCTCATTAGAGCATCCTTTAGCTCTCTAAAACTCCTCATGAGTTTTGTCTATCCAAGGGACTACAAGCCAACGTAAGGAAGTACTACTCCACAAAATCTCCATCAACCTTACTGCCAGTCAAGTTCTTTATAGGGCTCTTTTGCTTTTATTTACCTGAAAGAGTATCTACTGAGATGTTTGAGGAATGTTTCCTCTCTTTCCTGGGAGAGCCATGCATATTGTAGTACATTCTAGTCCCAATTGGACCAGTAAACAACAGCATGGGAGACAAGATACCTACTGGCAGTTAAACGAAGTGACACAGGGTATCCAAAGTTTATCTACCTAAGTAGCTCATTTAACAGTGGCCGGTAACGATGTGATCTTTTTGTTTTGCAGTAAGGAAAAGGCTTCATCATGGTTTTGACACTGAGTTACGTAGCCCCACAGACATCAATTTTTAGAGAGGAAAAGAACTGTTCTCCTGTACTGTAAGGTGTATAGAAAACTGTTGTTAAAGTCAGGAACACAGAAAGGAATGGAAGGGAGGCCTAAACCTGGCACGGAGGCAGAAAGACACATTGGAAACCAGGGGAAACATTTTGCAGTTGGCTAGGGTTCCACACACACCTCCTTACCTTGTTGATGTTTACAAGCAGCACAATGCTGCCTTCTCCAGGTTGAAGCTTCACACTGAATGTTTGCTGCGTTTGCAATTTGGGAATGTTCACAGTCACAAGACCTGCAATTGGCTTGGAGCTAGCTACATCAAAAATAGACTCGATTTCAAGATTCCACTGCTGAGCACTCTTTACTAAGTAAAGGGGGAGAAAAAATGGGAATTTAGGAATTGTGTTTATATACCTATTGGCTAACATGATCTGTCATCAAAGAAACAATTCAAACATCTCAGATTAAATTTAACAATTTTCAGGCCATGTTTGAACCAGACCTACAAGGTTAATCTTGTTTAGTGCATTTGGTATCTGTATTTACGTTTGCTGACTCAGAAGAGAACTATGCAATACGATTTGTTTTATAACTCTTTTTTTCATTTGAAAGCCATCGAGGGGTTTTTCAGAGTTCTGTACAAAAGTCAGAGACCATGACACCAGTCACTTCATTAGGAAGGATTTTTTTCCCACCAACTCCCATAGACATTATATTTGCTTTTAGTCAGCACTCATATGAACATGGTACTCTTTGGGAAAGATCGTAATCACACAGCAGTACAATCACTTTTGTTGATGAAACAAAAACAGTATTAACAGAAAATGAGCCGAATTCATCCCAGAGAGACAACATGAATGGAGTTATGCTGGGGGTGAATTGGGCCCATTGTGTCTGGACTTGACGGGCTGTATCTTTGCGTCCCTTCTGCCACCGAACTGTGGTGGAGGAAACAAGTTAATGACTTCCCTGAGATCCCTCTACAGTTACCTCAGAGAGTCCTCTCCTTTACAGAATTTACTGAATAAGGCAAGCCAGGGTCAAGGGTACTCAAGATTAATGTGTAAATTTCCCATTAACTTCAGCAATTAAATTACCTATCTACAAACAAAACCTGGCTAATCCTATACTTCAAATATTACAGATGAACATCTATCTAAGCAAAAGTAAATAAAACAGAAAACAAAGAAAACTAGAACTAAGACACATTTTGTATACACAAACTACTAATCACCTCCTTTCTCTTTTCATGCATATATTCTAGCTCTCCTTCCTCCAGGAGATAGAGAGTGAGCTCCTTCCAAAAGCAAAGAACTACATTCAGCCCTGGTGTGATTTTCACTGTCTTTTGTAGAATAAAGCACAATGAATGTGTTCCCAGGTTTATATTACACCCAGCATTACCCAGGGAAGACCAATTTTCAGAAATGTTGAAGGGGTTAAAAAAACACCAACCCCATCCTGCAAGGGTCAGCCATTACAGTTTGTTTTCCCTCCCCTCCAAGAGCATATAGAAATTCCAATCCACTCTTAACTGCATGAACTGTGGGGTCTAGGCACAGGAATCAAGAACCACAAATCGTTTACAGACTCAGTGGTCAAAACACTATGACACCAAATCCGATACCTCCATAGGCAGCTTAAATTCAAGTTGTTCATTTACTCTTTATTTTTCAAATGTTATTATGCTTGAATACTAATAAGCTCTGGCTCTGGTTCTAAACCACTCTCTGCTGAATGAAAGACGTTTGCTCTCTCCGCTTATCCAGGGAGCAAGACTTTACCTACCAGAAGGTGGAGTTGTGGGAATGTGGGAGGGACCAGAAAAGATTTCTTACTTTAACTAGATTTTAGAGAGCACACAGAGTCTGTGCTGGGGCTTTCCATGGAAATTCCAGTCACGTTAATTCTAGCTAAGACCTGCGGCTATTTCAGGAAGCTTTAAAAGCAGCCAGGGAGTGACGTCTTCCTCTTTTATTCATATACAACAACTCTATTCCCAAGGGCTGAAATTCAACCCAGTGCAGAGGACTCACGTGCTAGCCTTTACTCCACTGAAGACTGGGCTCAACAGGCAGCGAAAGAAAGCATGCGGGTGGTCTACAATGGGGCATATTACCATTTACAGAAAGTTTCAACAGAAAATTAACTACTTTTGCTCAGCTGCAATGAGGAGAGGAAAATCAAAGACCACGTCAAGGGAGGAAACCGGTTAGGTAAGTTAGGTAGCAGGAAGGCAGGAGGCTATCCTCTCAAATTGCAGCCTTAACAAATTACCCTTGCATAGCGCGACTGCTCTTCTCTCTCAGACTTCGCGTTGTGTCCTGAAAACTCAGCATGCTTGAAACTCTGCTCACTGTGCATTTGTCTTCCCAACACAAAACTAAATTCCCATAGCATCTTTGGCTTTGTTTTAAATGGAGTTGAGAAAAAAGTGAGATGTATTTATTACGAGCCTTGGTGAAAACACATGCCAATAAAAAAGAAATTTTTCAAAACAGGAGAACAGGGACTAACCTCAGCTATACTACATGTATTTCTGCAGTTATTCGGGGATCTTCAAGCCAAAAAAGATTCTGAATTCTAACATCTTTAATCACTATTGTTTGTACTGAAGTACTGTTCCAAGATCTAAAAAAAAGGGTGTGCTGTGGTAAGAACTACACACAAGTCATAATACAACAGTAGAACCTTTCCTAAACTGACAGTTAATTGAGCTTAACAATAAAATGGTTTGTATTCCAAATCTGAAACAACAATAAAAAGTAGTAACACAACTTACCAAAGAAAGAAGTCAAAGAAAAGTAAATCAGGTGATAATGGTTATAGGCCTCAATCCTAACATCTTTCCAGATTCCTTGAGTGGGAAAAGAAGGGCCCCAGTCCCAACTAAATGAACACTGCTCCTGGAATACAGAATGATTATGTTACAATTGCCTATTTTTCACACAGACATTGATGCTGTGACAGAAGTAAAAATTATTTGCTATCCAGAAATAAAATATTGCTATGGACTGAAAGAATTTTTCCGATTTCCATAAAGCCAGAAGAAGCTACAGTATTTTTTCTCTTATTTCTTAACGAGAACTCTGCTGCTACTACCTGTATTATATAAAAAATATAATTTTCTGTTAAACATCCATGTAGACCAAAATTTTATATTAGTAAGAGAGCAAAACACCACCTGGCCCACCACTTAAAAAAACCCAGTAAAGATCAAAAAAACAAGCCAGCAGGTTACTATTGATTCAGCTCTGAATTATCTTAGTTTGTAATGTCAGTATTTAATTGTATACCTAAAAGCCAAAGTAAGCAGAAAACTGATGGTTACAAATGTTAAAGTATTCTAAAAGAACAATACCAAATAAAAAATCGTGGGTATATCTGGAATACTTTATCCCCTATTTTTTGTTGTAGCACCACAGATTAGTACAAGGAAAGAGCTGTGTATGTCTGGTGTGTTTGTGTAGTTCAGTCATGTTCACTGTTTCTCCCCTTTTTATGGTTCTCTTATACAAAAACAAAGGAAACAAAACATGATTGAGAAATAGCTTAGTTCTGGTTCTAACTTCAGAATAACTGTCAGAATTATAAAATACTGGTCAGGCAGAGAAGTACCTATGCTGCCTTCCATTTAGCTGTTTTCAAACCTGGTCAGACCTCTAGTTAACAAATCCCTTGAAGACATCTATTCAGCTGCCCTCCAAGCTTCACACAGCCCCAGCCGCCAAAGCAAATACAATAGATCTCCTTGAAGTCTTGTACAGTGACCTACAGTTCTAAATTTAGAGACTAATAACTTACAGCCGAGGCATACTAATTTTGGCAAACCACATTGCACAAGTCTGGCCTATCCCTTGCATTGCTGCAGTCTGCCTGCCTGCCTATCAAGTTGCAAAAGAGCCTTCCAGGAAGCAAGCACTGTACCTATTTCAAGTGTAAAAACAGGGACAACACATTCGTAGAAAACGAGTCAGATTGAAAGTAATTTTCCCTTTATAAAAGTAACCAAATGAATCACTGACAGATTGTCAGGTTTCACTAATAATATTGCAGAGACCGCTATCAGAAATAGTATGTCATAAGAACAATACACTTGTATCACTGAAGTACATGACCAGTGAAAATCTTGTGTTTTGCCACAAATTCCTATTAAGATTTAGATATGTTTACTGTATGTAATACTGAACCTCAAATGTGTAAACAAATCTCCATTACTTTAAGATGGTAAGCAGCCAGCTTACTTTAGCAATGTCCTAGTACGTTTGTTTACTTTTAAATGTGACATCGCTGCTGTTGTTGCCATATACTTGGAACAAAAAATGTTTCTGGAAATGTCTGGAGCAGCTTCCTAGTACAGTCAAGTAACTCCTTTGAGGAAAAGGACTAAGGTACTTTCTTACAAGTTCAGAGGTATAGTTCAGGAAAGCATAAAATCATTCCTGGCCATTTTTGCTCTATAAATATGACTACAGCTGTTTAAGTGCCTTCTTCCTTCCAAGCTCCTCCCTGCACTGATTTCTAAGAAACACAGTGGACTCAGAAGAATTAATCAACTTTCTAAAATGTGATGAAAATAAAAGTAGCAGCAAGTAGTAATAAAGACAATATCTTAGTCCTGAAGGATCTTCCCAGGACAAAACTGAGTCCATCTTTCCATTACCAAATTATAAAGGAAATCACATCCAGGTTTAGATTAACAGGATTCCAGTCATTTTTTGAGGAGGCTTTAAAATGACTTTATTGAAAAGATTAAAAATAATTAACAAGAAAGGCATTTAAATGGAGACAAACATGCAAAAACACCCAAAAAGAGAAATTCCAAAATAAGAAAACCTAGCCATTGTCTCTAGCTGCTGCAAAGCTATCAGAAATATATGAGATGCTACTCAAATGATAGTTTGCCTTGAGTAAGTTTTAACAGCAATGAGGCCATGTCTTAAATAGGAGTTTCTGAGCTTCATTCATTACATATAACGTTGTTGTTTTCACTGAATATGTACTTATAAGTCACACTTCACAACACCGTAATAAGATGAGAACAGTGTTGTGTTAGATAACGCTTCTTGGGACATGCCAGAGCTGCCCAGTATAAATAGCACAGCACATGAGCAATAGCAAACACTCACAAAGCTGCTTGGCTGAGATTTTTACAGCTTTGGCAATCTACACTGGTATTTGCAAGTGTGAACTCTATTGTCAGCATACATTGCTAAATCTACCCCGTGGATCAAAATGAAATGATTACACATTTCCCAATACAATCCTACTCTCTTAGGAGCAAGTCTCCTTGCTGACTCCTTGATGAAAACAGCCTTTTAAACATTCTTATCACCTAGATATGAAGCCTGCCCTCCTTATGCCTCTTGTATTATCGACATGCTAGATTACAGGTTTTGAGGGGAGGGGGACAGGAGAAGGAAGCTGCAATGAAAAATATGCCCTACTTATAAAATGACATTGCAGGTCTCAGAATACATCTGTAAGGACAGCATGTGGTACATTCCTCTTTCCAAGCCTGAAACCAGACAGAGACAGACAATTCTGCCCCTACCTTTCTGATGAAATTAGCATGGCACTCTCCTTTCTGCACAGGTGGAGGGCACGCCGGGGGAACACTGTATGCTTTGTGACATCTGCTCTGCTCTGCTGCATATGAAACAGCTGATAAGAAACGGACTTCGACAAAATTGACCTCCTTGATCATGCTGGTAATATCAAAGCTCTAGGTCAAGAAAACAGAACAAAATCATTACAGCGCTGACATTTATTTATGAGATTTATAATCACTGTTACATTGGGATTTTGATACCATACATATATTATTCAAAGCCATTTGAACTACAGTCTCAACAGGCTCTGGTTTTGAAGGAAAAGAAAAGCTACTTCTTAAGCTGAAAAAAGAAAATACACAGTAACATTCCAGATACAAGGAGACGTTTCTGGGCAAACTACTTTCCCCATACTGAGCCCCCATTGCAGGCTTCAGCACTCTGCTTGCACACAGAAGTGCCTGAAGGATAAGGATGGCAAGAGAATCTTTACCCTCCTTCCTCACTCCAAACTCATCTCCATCTTTAGAAAGACACCTTGTTCCAACTCAGAAAGCTGGTCTATATAGGAGTCCTTCCAACTCACACTGTGCTGCCAGCTTATCTACCGCAAAGCACTGAGCTGCCTTTTGCGTGAATGCTGCAAAGCTGTATTTCATGCCGCCTGCACTCTCATCCCCAAAACGTACAGATACACATCCTATGCCAGCACCAAATAAAGCATTTGGGGGCTTCCTCACTGGCTCACAAAATCCCCTTCAGTGTGGCTGGATAGAAGGATAAATGTTTGATTTCAGAATTATCCTGTGCTATCAAGATAGTATGGTTCCAATGGCTAACACCCATTTCTTCTTAACAGTGTTCATTTGTGACAAGCCAAGTCTTGGCAATTTTTTCCAACTTGAGCAGCCCAGCTAGCATCACTTATGTCTGTAGCATACAGCAGAAAAGTACAAAGCAAACAGCATCCCCCATACAGAGCCTTCACAGAGTCCTTCCTGCAGACATAGTTGTCATGTGGAACAGGTGAACAAAGCAGAAGTCTGGGTCACAGTAATCCTAGACTCAGTCTAATACAGTTCACTGTGGTTTTACAGTGAAGGCCATTTCATGAACTGTTACAATCTGAGACAGAATGAAGTTGCAGAAGCAAGGGCAAAATAATATCACTTCCCAACTCTACAGAGCCTGCTACTGGCAATCCTTTAGATACTCTACAAATAGTAAATAATCACAATTTCATAAGAGCTCTGTGAAATTTATTATTTCACAGATGGTAAAACTAAGTCACAGAGAAAGTAAGTGATTTGTCCCAGGTCACACAGACCCAGGTGGCAGAACCTAGCTTTTATGTCTCAGGCCAGTACCTCTGCAATAAAACCTGCCAGAATGGTAAACGCTGAGATATGAAGACACCAGATTTCCTTTGTAATTCAGTTATTCCACCAATATTCTTCCTTTAACTTTTCCTTTTTTGATTGTTTTAAGAGAAAAGCAAGGATTGTCTCTTATGCTAGTACCCAGAATGACTTTATATTTTAAAGCTGTAAAATTAGTTGGAATGTTTTTGTCACTCTCAAGATCATTCCATGATAAGTACTCTCACACTGACATAGATTAAGCCCAAAAATGCAAGACAATGTTATCAAAAGCTCAATATTAAAAATCAAAACCCCTATATAAAAAAAAGCATGGAAACACTTACAAAGGCTTTGCAACATGCATTTTCATTGCAGTATTTGCATGTAAACCTTTCTAATACCAATTAGTAAGCAGATTTACAGCTAATATAACACACTTAGGCTTATGTTTTCTTGGAGCTGTGACAGATCCCAATAAGCAAGACTTACATTATTAGCTGAACTGATCCTCTTGTGTGGCTCCACTCATTTAGAACAAGGCACATTCACCTCTAGATCTGACCCTGCTGCTACTGAAAAGGTAAGTACACTTCTCTTTCTAACAGTTATCTGATTACACATGCAGTCCTCAGGTCAACACTTTCTGCACCCAAGGACCTATTTTTCTGTGTACTTGAATGTGCTGAAAGTGCTCAGCACAAAAGGGCTTTGAAGAAAAAACAGAAGGACCTTCAGAAATAAACACATTACTTACATATCTGTTGAACATGTTGTCTGTTGTCCCAAGAGTCATATTGTTGATCAGGATCTGTGCTACTGTATCTACTCCCTCGAAAACCAAATTCACTTTCTGCCACTTTCTACAGAAGATAACATATGCATAATAAAACTGTTAGAACACCTAGAGTTAATAACACACAGGAGACAATATAAAAATGTATGTCACTATTATCTTTAGCAGTAGTCCTCTCAACTACCTCCAAAAATGTTTGACTTAGTGTGGCTACATTGTATCTCTAAATAATCAATTTAAGATGACAGCTGAAGTGGCTGAATTCTGCAACACAGCATGTTCACATACCCACCAGGTAGCAGATGGACTAGCTTCCAATTAGCCTAAGTATTATCCTTCCTTAGTTGGCAATTCATAAGTAATTTTTAACAATTAAATAAAAAATGGGAAAAAGCAACTACTGAAGTGTTCTTTAGCAAGAGCTTTGCAGCTGCATATTATTGCATAATTTGTTTTATTAGATACAAAAGTATTAAGCAGATTTTGAGCTGATGGATTAGCTAGCAATTCTGCATGAAAGACAGCACAGAACTATTTTAGACATATCTTTACCGCATACCTGATGTCAAAAGGAGTTTTGAATGTTCTGCTGTAAGTCCAGTTATCCAGCGAGATCCATCTGTATATCACATCATTAAATCTATAGTATGGATCCTAATAACAGACCAACAAAAAGAAAATTACAAGACTTATTTAGTATTTGGTCCGAAACCAGGACACTCATATAGGTCAAAACCTGTTTGCTATAATCATTCATACTCAAACTAGAGGGAGCAGAATTTGATTTTATGTAAGAAATGACTGGGCTGGAAATTAAAAAAAATCCAGACAGCTTGTGACTTAATGAGAGGAACAGAAACATGATCACACTCATAATGAAGGAGAAAGTAAGACTAATAGGATTTTAAGAGGCAAAGAAACAGCAGTTTAGGCCTCTAGGGACAGCAGTGAACAAATCTCTACAGTTTAAAATCATTGCAAATACTCCACTTGTTTCTTGTCAATGAGTCTTGATGTGGTAAGGCTAAATTAAATTGTTATATTTAGAGGGAGGGAGAAAGAGAAGGAGGAGAAGCAACACAATTTGGTTTGTTATATAAAATTAAATGACTACTTTTGAGAATAATGCTGCATTTATACTGAATATGCTCTTTTCCCTTTAGTCACAGCACCCAGGAAGAAAAAAGGCACACTTTGTCTCAGCTATGTCCTCGACCTTTTTGGCTTCATGCTGTATTTATTACCTTATGGTGGGTCACAACGTTCCTCACCTAGGCTGAAGGAATCAGTTATGTGGACCTGACAACCCACCACCTTGCACCTCACACAAAGGCAGCAGAAAGGTACAGTGTTACATCCCCATGTCAGACAGTTCAGAGTGCAGGTATCTGGGTCAGTGACTGACAGCTCAGTTCAATCCTCTTTGCAGCTGTGCAGCTGAACTCCTTTCCCAAACCAAAGACCAATCTCTTCTGGACTACATGACTCAAACCCAGCTAAGAGAGAGCATAGCTGCATTAAGGTTCTCTGATACGAGTCTTCTATAGTACCAGCACAGCTAACTATCTGCCCTGAATACACAGATTCACACTGAAGAAAATCTGCCCAGCTTTTTTTTTTTTCTTCTTGCTGAAGCTCAATTTTTCTCCCCATTTCAGGAGTCAGTATAGATACTAATGACACTTCTGGATTTGAAATCTTCTGAAAAACACTGTTTCATATCTCATACTTGTTTTACAATTAATAGGGTCAGGCTCCGTAGTATAAACACAAACCTATTTACATAGCAGAGCAAAATCATAACATCTAAGTGACTGTCGTCAGCAGGGTAAACTCTTCTAAAGTCCCACAGCAATATAAACATGATTCGTTGAGCCTATACAGAGGGAAAGTTGTTGCCTTGCCTCTACTTGCTTTGCTTGATCAATCAAATTTCTTACTACAAGGGAGTAAGAGTCAAGAAGGAAAGGTCTTATAACCTCAGTAAAACTGACCTCTGTATTGGTAATGCAGTGTATTCTCTAAAAGTTAAGTCACCATGAGCTTACCAGAACAATTACTGAATTTTAGGATATCCATACCATTACTTTTATTCAAAATGCTTGGGGAATATATCTCAGACTTTTATTAAGATGCAAAATGTAAGGCTAATAAATGCATATTAAAACACAAAATTTAGGCTCATATAAGAAACTCTTAAGATTACTGTATTGAGACAACGAAAGGCAAGCATCAAATGTCAGAGACCATGAAAACCCACAATATGTCCTTAAAAAGCACATTTTTAACAACTGTCTTGCTTTAACATTATATACTATTTTATTTTAAGCTATGCTTGGGAAAATGTGCATGTTAAATTCCAATCATTGCCACTTGTATGTGTGAAATATTCAACAAAAGGCATAAGATGCAAGCTGTAAATGCACCATCAACAGCAGACTGTAAAGCCAAAATCAATTTGGTTAGCGGTCAAACAATCAACATCAGTGCCTCATCAAAGATCAAGACCCTGCATAAACCTTCACTGTTTCTCCATGAAAGCATGAATACTGAGATGTTAATGAACAAAGACCTGATGTCTGAAGAACACAAAATTGGCTGTCTAGCAGCAGAGAGAAATGTGGGACCGCTTCATCAGAGGCGGAAATTACATCATCAGATGGGCTCTTACAGCAGTTTACGAACAGAGCTGCTCGTTTAAATCTCCTCAGAGCTTACTGCCAATCCTTTTTCCTGAAGGGGCTTTCTTCTTCTGTATTACTCTAACTCCTTCAAACTTCAAGAAATGCATTGACGCTAAAATATGTGTCATAGAAGGTGCTAATTAGCCCCTTCTGACTCACACGAATACTGTTTCTTCCTCACAGCCATCCACCTTTTTAGACGGGAAGCTCCTAGTTCTGTGTACCTTTATATAAAACTTAACAGCTTACTGATATTGCTACATAACTAGTAAAACAGCTTATATATCACACAGAAAAGCTGTTAAATGCTAATACTGGTTAGTCATTTTAAGCATGACAAATATCGCTTGTTGTAAAATCAGTCATGTGGCAATGTTTAAGCAATGCTTTTAAGGCAGTTCTCAAGGTTCAGGAAAAATGCATGACAACAAAGTCCTGTAAGAAAGGAAAATGACATCTCCAATACACTTGTGAGATTATTGACTTTTTCATTATTAAATGCAACTGTTTTGAGTGCTGGAAGATTTACCTAGAGAAGTCAAATTGTTTGGATTTATCTGAAACAGAATTTCATCCCACATTAAATCAGCTCACATTAAAATGAAAGGTTTATTTCAGAAAACTGGATGAAAAAAAAACAATTTTAAAACTCTTAAGGGCACTGGGACAATTTGAAAGACAGTAGGAAATAGACCGCACATGTATTAAATATACTTCACATTCATTAGCTCAACATGTTCCTGGAAGCAAATCATAGAGGGGTGGAGCCAACTACAGCTATTTTTAGATCCCACCAAACATGACAGCCTTGCATTTTCCTGCTCCCTGCAATTTGGGGAAAAATTCTCAACCACTCAAGCTCCCTGCCTGTTTGTTCTCTGCTCCCAATTTCAATGCTGTGAGAAAGCAGCAAATCACCTGCTAAGATGAGGTAAAAAGCCCTGCTACAGAGCATCAAAAAGAAGCAATTTCCAGTTTGGATAACAGGACATCAGCAGGACTTCAAAGCCCTGGCAGCACTAAAATGCAGGCACTGCCAAGCAGCTAGATGGAAGCTCCTCCTTGCAATGATTTTAAGGGGATATTGAAAAGCTAAGAGCTTCTCCTGTTAGGCAGGAAATGGATGAGACATGAACACATCAGAGGTGAGGCTCAAAGCCCAAGTGAGCGAGTTGTGCCAGGCACACCCGGGCCCCATGATGGGCCAGCTTCAGGCCGCACGCAACCAGGAGTCCGGGGGAGCACGGCGCAAACACCTGAATCACAATAGACAGCGTCAGCTGGATCCAGGTCGAAGATCAGCATGTAATAAAATGAAATGTAATAAAGGGAACAAAAACCAGATTCCTTTGCCTTACCCTACTTTTGTTATGATCTAATTTGAAGCTGTCTCGCATGCTTTTCTCTCATAAATCAACTCTGCTGATATTTTATAATGTACACCATAAGAAAATCTTTCTGATGTAACAGATTACCAAAATAAAACTTGCAAGTGATGTTTCATGATTTACAGTTCAATGATTTTGCTGTTGCCAACTTCAGACTGGAAGCTAAATAGTTTAGATACTTATCTATATCCACGCACTCCTTGATATCACAAGCGATAGCAGTCAGGACATTTATACAATTTTCAGCAAGCCCAGTTTCACATATTTACAGCTTGAAGTCAAGCTGAACTAACAGTAGCGACAAATGGATCGTATTCTTGGAATATGAGTTTTGGAAGTTCATCGTAAAGTGATTAATTTTCAGTAGTTACTCTAACAAAGCAGTAAACTGAATGTCACCTTATAGAATCATAGAATCGTTTAGGTTGGAAAAGACCTTTAGGATCATCAAGTCCAACCGTTAACCTAACACTGCCAAATCCACCACTAAACCATGTCCCTAAGCACCACATCTACAGGTCTTTTAAATACCACCAGGGATGGGGACTCAGCCACTTCCTTGGGCAGCCTGGTCCAATGCTTGACTACCCTTTTCGTGAAGAAATTTTTCCTAATATCCAATCTAAATCTCCCCTGGCACAGCTTGAGCCCATTTCCTCTCGTCCTATCGCTAACTACTTGGGAGAAGAGACCAACACCCACCTCACTACAACCTCCTTTCAGGTAGTTGTAGAGAGCGATAAGGTCTCCCCTCAGCCTCCTCTTCTCCAGACTAAACAACCCCACTTCCTTCAGCTGCTCCTCATCAGGCCTGTGCTCCAGACCCTTCGCCAGCCTCACGGCTCTTCTTTGGACACGCCCCAGCACCTCTTTCTTGTAGCGAGGGGCCCAAAACTGGACACAGTATTTGAGGTGCAGCCTCACCAGGGCCAAGTATGGGGGACAATCACTTCCCTAGTCCTGCTGGCCACACTACTTCTGATACAAGCCAGGATGCTGTTGGCCTTCTGGGCCACCTGGGCACACTGCTGGCTCATATTCAGCCGGTTGTCAACCAACACCCCCAGGTCCTTTTCCACCAGGCAGCTTTCCAGCCACTCTTCCCCAAGCTTCTAGCATTGCACAGGGCTGTTGTGACCCAAGTGCAGGACCCGGCACTTGGCCTTGTTGAATGTCGTACAGCTGGCCTCAGCCCATCAATCCAGCCTGTCCAGATCCCTCTGTGGAGCCTTACGCTCAACTATTTCACCAGTGAATGCCATAACTTGTTAGAATCGTAGGATATCCAACACAACTGTTACCTGGCTTGCTCCGAAAAATCTAAGTTACGATGAAGTGTTAGAAAATACGCAACAACATACTTTATACAAATGCAGAACAAGCTACAAAAAATACACACTACTTTACAGAACTGCAGAAGTACCACTTGAGACACATAAGTGTCTGCTTCTTCTAATATATTTTAATACCCAAGTATGACCAAGACCACTGTAATCTGCTGTGTCAAGTGCATGTCCTTCTTGTATACTGGGGCAGAAACTGCAGTGTTATCCAGCCCCTCTATTACCATCACTGTTGCAGA